CTAGAACAAGGGCGTACATGATTGTTAACACAGTAAATAACGGTATGAGAGATTAAAGGCTTAATATTGTTACAGTAATATATAGCGGCATGCCATTAACAATATTCGGACAAGGGCGTATAAGATTGTTACAATAATAAACAGAGGCATATAAAATCTGTACAATATTCAGAAAGGCAATATATTTAAAATATTAAAAATTTCTTGGTTTTCTGACAATGCTTGCAACTGAATTTCGCTATCTTTTTTGTACGCTGAAGTTGCAACATTTTCAGCTAACATATTTTAAAAAATATTAACAAAGGCATACACATTCGCGAGTGTTACTTGATATAGGAAAAACTAATTGATCCAAATGGCTACATTTCATTTAATTATTAATGGCTATATTATTATTATTTATTTATTTATTTATTTATTTATTTATTTATTTATTTATTTATTATTATCATTATTGTTATTATTATTGTCATTATCATTAATTATTATTAATTATTATTACCTGCCATTGCCCTTAGGGTTTGCTATTGATTTCTGATTGTTGTCGTGTATTTTAATGAAAAGCATTTTTTGACTATTATCAGGCTTCCAATCACTTGTCCATTGCGTATTACTACTCGATGTATAATAGTTATACTTGAGCAAATCTTTATCGTTCAGGCTAGATATGAAAGTTTTCGAAATTATACAACTAGAAATGTAAAGTCATAATTCACAAATGATGATGAAGGTAATAATAAATGACATGAATCAAATGGTGCATTTTTGAAGATCAGAAATAGAAATAGGTTTACTAAATACATGTTTGAATCCATCTATAGTTGAATTGATTTAGTAGCGGCGATCATTTGGAGAAGGAGGACGAACTGGAACCAAAAAAGGCGAAGTTTAATGAAAATGACGCAATTTCATACATAGAATATGGTGAAGTGCCACGGAATATCCCTTTGCAACTTCTAACAACTTATCCACAAGGTGCCGGATTTCCATTCTTTACGTGGGCACAAATGTTTTTCACCACTGCAGATCAGGTTTGCACATTAATTATCAGGCGAAAGAGATTGTGAGAATAATTAATCCAATATCGCAACTTTGCATAAATTAGAACAGATACTGAGTTGGAATGTTCATAATGTAAAGTTTCTGCAGGAGATCGTCGGCTGGTTCAAAGGAAATGGTGATTTTGGAAAGCCAGCGATGAACGCCCTCTCGGACATTTCTAAACTAATTAAACCTTTGCCCTATGTGGTACTATCGAAAGTTCACGATTGTTTAGATAAAATTGCAAAATTTTTGATAAAAAATGATTCTGAATTCAAATGTGCTTTGATATGGAAAGGTAAAAACCATCTAGAAATTTTTGCTAAAACGAGTACCACTGGGGCTGTTTCACCTGGAGTAAAAGAACTGCTGAAGGCGCAATGCAAGGAACCGGATGAATTGGAAGAATGAAAAAGTGATAAGATTTAAAAAAATTCATTGATCGATTTCCAATATGACATCTTTGATAGCGGTACTCGAATTCAGATTAAACCTTTTGCATCGAATTTAAACTAATTTAAATCCATAAGTTCATCTCTGCATTGCTCGCTATTTTTTATGGTATTAAATGAGTTGCAGCGTACTCGAAACTGTTTGTGATGGTGGATGAAGCATAAAAGTAATCGGTTTCAGGGAATTTGCAGACCAGAAACTGAGTTCCTCGGCCCCTATATTTCAATACCGAATGAATCACAATGGATTCATGCGATGCGTTAAGAAATACTGACTTATCAGCGTCTTGATTTTATTAGATTCAGGAATACCGTGGTTTATGCTGCACAAATCTTCGTGTAACTAATTTTAATCCATCAGAGTCACGTGCAAATTTTGTTCGAGGTTCCGTGAGAATTGGTTTTTGATAATTTTCATATAGGAAAAATACCGAAATTAGAAGTAGGAAGTTGGTGAAAACATAACGTAAGTTACCGTCTTGACATAATCCGAAGAAAATTATGGATAGTTTTTGAAAAAAATCATGCAATACTACGGCAATCGGTGCTTGGCTATGTAATTGCGCAGGAAGTAGTTGTAGTGAAGCTCTTACAAGTGTGTTTATACTAATTTTTCACCCAAAATTGCCGAAATTTGGACAAAAGGATTTCTGGAATATCTCAAAATTCACTATTTTTACCGAAGTTTGAAATTGCTGCTCTTCGGAATTTTCATACATTGAAGAATATACATGCCATCATAGACTCCACAAAATTACACCGTTAGTAATGCCAGCACAATTGTGGCTTAAGTATAAGCATAAGTGAACTTCTTAACGTTGCTTAAATGAAACGAAGTTTAATTTATTAGCATTGCAATGTTCAATACTATACCCTGTATAATGTTATGCTGATGCCTGTGTGAGAGCTTCAGATGAAAAGATTACCTAAGATTCAGCTTCTGAACGAAATGCGTGTGGATCATAAATCCTTAGAGATTCCATGATAAGATTCCATGGTACTATTTTTCAATTTTTCTTTCTTGGTAGGATTCAGATGATGAGATGCTATCTAAATTGTCGAAATCGATAGATCTACTTTCTTTAATCGCGTTACTCTAATGTTAAGCGTTGCTAATAAATAAAAACGTTGGGGATGCGCAGACTTGATCTTATTAGTAATCACAAATCTGAAAAAAAGATTTCCCACTCGAGACCAACCAATATTATTATTAAGCTTTGACAAAATCACTTAACATTAATTCTACCAACACAGCCATTAATGATCAATGGAAAATAATCGATTTTATTCATATTGTTCAGGAATTGCAACAGTTATCATGTTGTTAAAGGTAAGTAATTACGACAAGTTGGTGATTACAACAGTATTTGGTAATGGACTGATGATAGCTGTAGCGGTAAAAAAAAAAGGGAAGAAATTTGACCATTTAAATCGTAGCCGTTAAAATACTCAAATTGCCATCTTGGGCATTTTTATTCTTAATTTTTCGAAGAAATATCACATGGCGATGATGCTATTTAATAACATATATTTTAAATCTTATAAATGATTGAATGAACAAACACATTCATATCGTTCAACTCGTAAATTGCAACAGTTGTTATCATGCTAGCAATGGTGTTATCAAGTTTTGTAAATATTCGATTAGCTCCCAAATATGCTGACTCTTCGATTTGCCGCTTCAGACGTTCACCTTTTTTTGTTACTACAAATTATGTGACATATCATAATTATTTTTACGCCTCCTTGTAGTAATGGTGCTATTTTGTTTCATTATTGCATGTCATTAAGAATCCCGACATTTTGATGAGAAGCTGGCAATATCATGTAATATGAAAGCATTGCAGAATATATTTCTGAACATTTGAAGAATTTTTG